GAATTGATGAAAACTGAGACAAAAAAATTGAGAAATGTAAGGAAAACTTTCTTGAATGTGCTCTATTTAAAAAAATTGAAAAAAAAAAAACGAAAATTCAAAAACCCCAAATTGATCAGGTAAGAAGAAACTAGTAGGTATACGCCAAAATTTAAAAACCTCTAAAGTACAGAAGCACCCCTTTACAACTTAATTTTGAATATTATATACAGAGCAGTGCAAACAGAACAGAGTAAGTGCAGATGGAACAGAAATTAAAGCAATTGGAACACTTAAAGTAACTCGAACAATAGAAGGAATTCAGCATGGAATTTATGCAAATGGAATGTTTAGAATAATTTAAATCGAGTTTGTGCAAATGAAAGAGAATTAGAACAGTCAAAGTAGTTTAAAACCGTTGAACAGATTAAAATGAGTCATTGCATTTGGAAAGGTCAGAGTAGAATTACTAATAACCCGAAATTAATTTTCAAATCAGTCTACTGTTATAGTGAATAAATTCATTATTTAGTGGCATATTAGAGTAGCTCGAACAGTAACAATCAGAGCAATGCAAACAGAACAGAGTTAGTGCAATTGAAATAGAAATTAAAGCAATTGGAACACTAAGGCTGAATTCGGCTTTGCATTCCATGAAGCGAGACAGTATAAGCATGGATATCGTAACGTCATACGCGGTCATAAGCCCAACGCAAAAGAGAGCTAAAACGAACAGGATCTTATTGTTTCGAGCGTGCTCAGAGTTTACAGGAGATAGTGAATAACTTTATTATTGTTTAGTAGCATATTAGAGTAATTTGAACAGTAACAATCAGAGCCGTGCAAATAGAACAGAGTTAATGCAATATAACTCGAAAAATAGAAGGAATTCAAATAAAGACAATGCAGATGGAATACTTGAGTAATTTGAATCGAGCTAGTGCAAAATGAACAAAATTAAAACAGTCAAAATAGTTCGGACACTTGAACATTTGGAGTAGAATTACTAAAAAACCAATATTAATTTTCAAATCACCCTATTTTTATAGTAAATAAATTCTTAGTAGCATATTAGAGTAGTTCGAACAGTAACAATCGGATCAGTGCAAACAGAACAGAGTTAGTGCAGATGAAACAAAAATTAAAGCAACTGGAACACTTAGAGTAACTCGAACAATAGAAGGAATTCGAAGAGAATTAATGCAGATAGAATACTTAAGCCTAGTACTCATAACCGCGAAATTCGCTCTTTTTTGACATTGCTTCGACAATTTGACGTCTGATTCATGAATGAAACGTCAAATTATGGAAGCAATAATTGTATTCCTTTCACACCTAGGAGGAGCTCCGGAACAGCTCCGGGGCTTCACGCGCTTATTCCTTTCGAAAAGTGTTTGTTGCACCACGCATATGTTCCCTGCAAATCGGGGGCGACTAAGCACCGAAGCGAGTAGCTCGAGTGTTTCAAGCTCTTGAAAGGAATACAACCAATGTCAAAAAACCGCGAATTTCGCTGTTATGAGTAAAATCTGTTTTTTTTTTTAAAGATAAAAGCCAAAATGACATTATGTTGGCAATACAATGTAAAATTGTCAATGCTTTCAATTTTTTCATGTAGAAAAGGCTTGTGTTGCCAACATGGTTACTTAATTTTTGACTTGGGGAATTATCTTTAAAAAAAACAGACTTTACTAGACTTTAGAGTGATTTAATTCAAAATAATGCAAATAGTTGTATTCCTTTCACACCTAGGAAGAGCTCCGAAACAGCTCCGAGGCTTTACGCGCTTATTCCTTTCGAAAAGTGTTTGTTGCACCTAAAGCACCCAAGCCTGAATTAAACCATTTGAATGCACGAACGCCAGCGCTTATGTTCCTTTCAAATCGGGGTCGACTAACACCGGAACGAGTAGCTCTAGTGTTTTAAACTCTTGAAAAGAATACAACTATTAAAACAAAATTTCAGAAAAGTCAAAGTAGTTCGCAGCAGTTAAACAGATTAAAAAGAAGTCAATGCACCTGGAACAGTCAGAGTAGAATTACTAAAAACCCAAAATTTTCTTTAGAGTAGTTTGAACAGTATCAATCGGAGCAGTGCAAACAGAATAGAATTAGTGCAGATAAAACAGAAATGAAAGCAATTGGAACACTTAGAGTAGCTCGAACAATAGAAGGAATTCAAATAAAAGTGAAGCCCAGTACTCATAACAGCGAAATTCGCTCTTTTTTGACATTGCTTCGAAAATTTGACGTTTTATGCATGAGTCAATCGTCAAATTGTCGAAGCAATGTCAAAAAAAAATGAATTTCGCTGTTATGAGTACTAGGCATAATGCAGATGGAATACTTAGAGTAATTTAAATCGAGTTAGTGCAAATGGAACATAACTAGTTAGTTCAGACAGTTAAACAGGGGGGACTTTATTTGAAATTGATGCAACTTTGCGTACATGCAAATATGACGCAGATGACGTCAGTTGTGATTTAAAAAGTACATATCAAATAAGACGTGCGCCAATTTTCAATCACGAATGACGTCATTTGCGTGTACGCAAAGTTGCATCAATTTCAAATCCCCCAAGATCAAAAAGAGTGAATGCACTTGGAACAGTCAGAGTAGAAATACTTAAAAACCCAAAATTAATTTCCAAATCATCTTATTAAAATTACAATTGGTTATTTACGCGCCACAATTTAAAAAACTCCAAGTACAGAAGCGTTCTCTACAACTCAACTTTGAACATGCCATTAGAGCATTTCGAACAGATAGAGCAGTTCGAAAAGTTCAACTGTTTCTACTTCTAAATCCAGGCAGTTGCATCGTATCGATAGCTATAAATATCCTAAAAACCCCTTCATGTTAAATTTTAATGTTTCTGCTCCGAACACTCTTGTATTGCTCATTCTGAAAACAAAAACTACTCAAACCACTGGAGTGGAGTAATAATTCATTCGTTCGAGCAGCAAAACGTCCAAAACGAAAACCCCTATCCTATAAATATAACCTCACTTAACAAAAGAGTCAAATTTCAAAAATTTGTTTTGTATCATGATAAAATGTGAAGAAAAATCTGAAATAATGTGATAAAACAACTGTTTTTAGTGTTAATAATTTCAATTTTTCCTATTTGAATTCCCTTATGTCTGTATTTTGAGTTGAAGTTTTTGTTCCAATTTCGTATTACCTTATATAGACATTTTTGTGCCTTTTAAAACAAAAATACCTTCACACACACACTGCCACAATTTACAATGGAAAATCCAACGAAAAACTATTCCTGGGCCAAACCATTTCCCGAAATACAAAAGGCCTGCACCCTATTCAATCGAACTGAACTTCTACAAATTGCCAGATATGTCTACATCCCATTAACAGGCTATCTACAACAAGGCCCTCAATGCGGTTTAGTGGCCCTTGCAATACTGATGGGCAGCGCCAACAAAGAAACCGTCGACCGTATTTTCCAGTGGGCCAAGAAAATGGAATTCAGTGTTTATGGAGAGATGTTTAGTGCTACTTGGATGGCCAAGTTGGCTGAAAAGTTTATGCCAGATGCCAGAGTCGAAGTGCATTCAGGAGAATTGGACTGTGATAAGATAAAGGAGTTTTTGTTGAGCGGTGGGATGATGTTGGTACCGTATCCTTTTTTTGCATATTAACTACACTATTTTGTTTATGTCTATATTTCTAAACTTTTGAAATTCTGTATTTCAGGCCAATTTTGTTTATTTCTTTCTAAGGTGAATCATACTTCAAATTATTACATTTTAAACAATTTTTGGTGAGGATAATCAACCGTAATCAGTTGATTATGCTGGGTTATGTGATATATCATCATTCATCAATTGTGTCATACTCCCAACTGTCCCAACTAGTCCAAGTACTCCCTCTCTATCAAATTTTGGGCCTACGAGTGATGTGACTATCTCTATCAGCCAGTGGCGTATCAACCCAGCTCCGGGCCTGTGTGCCAACATTTTTGCGGGCTCGTCACGAGCTCCCCCCGCCAAACTAACCCAAATTTCGACCCAAAAGTCATTCAAAAAACACTCCTAAATTTTTTTATTAGGTATTTTTATTTAAACATTGAATTGTGAATTCGCCATTTTCAAAAGTGGTATGAATAATTATATCCTGTTCACAATCTGATGTCCACAGGTGCAGGTAAATTTATCACCATAGGCGCAACTAGGAGAATGCTTGGGGGTGCTAAGCACCCTTAAAGCAAAAATTAGCACTCCTATTCGGCATCCCACCATAGCACTACCTAACACTTATATAAAAAATTAATGCAACCAAATTATTTTATGTATTTTTTTGCACTTTTTGTACTTACTTACATCATCGATGACGTCATAATTAAAAAAAAGTATTTGTCGTTGATTAATTCATAGAGCACGTTCGCAATTATTATTGTTAAAATCAAGACTTACCTTAAAATATACGGTTTTTATCTTATATTAACATTTAGGATGACGTCATCGAACAAGGTCAGACAATGTTTTCAATGTCTATGTTTATTCTATATCTTAAGGTGACATTGGAATACCGGCTCTTAAAAAATCATTGGAGTCCCAAATATATAAATCAATTAACTGCGTATTATACAGGGTATTCTTAAATATCATGTACAAACGACAAAGGGTGATTCTTTTTTTTTTACGACTGAAATTTCAAATATGTTCTAAAAAATTGACTTATTTAAGCAATTAAAAAAAAATTCACCCTCTTACATTTTAATTTTTTTCTAGAAAACTTGCAAAGACAAAATTTTGAAAATTTTCCAGGAATAAGAGGATAAGAGGAAAATGAGGAGCTCATTTTACGAAAATTTCAAAATTTTCCAGTAAAAAATTACTCCAAGAAAAAAACCTGAAAAATTGACTTTTTCAAGTAAAATAAGGGAAAATTCACCTCTTACATTTTAATTTTTTTCTGCAAAACTTGCAAAGAGAAAATTTTGAAAATTTTCCAGGAATAAGAGGAAAATGAGCTCATTGTGGCATGGTGTGGATCACAATCATGGCGGGGGGCAATAATCATAAAGAGGGTAAACCACCCCCTGATAAAAATAATATTAAAGTAGTCGATCTCACATACAATGATATGATGATAAATGAAGATGAGTCCATAGAAAATAATATTAATTCTCAAACTCAACATGATAAACAGATTTCAGATAGATTAAATAGAATTGATTTGAAAAATAGATATAAAACAAATAGTAACGGTCCATTTTCAGTTTTTGTGGAGCATAAATATTTAAATTTTGGTAGATTGCATCCTCTCAAAATTGGTGAAAAATTATTCAATCTGAATGGCGATGAAAATAATATTGATTTCTTGCACACAGTTGGTCGAAATAGGGTCCAGATTATGTGTAAATCCGCTATAAGTGCCAACAAAATAGTTGAAAATCAGGTATTTGAAAGTAACAATCTTATTGCATACATATATTCCATCTCATCTTACTCAAAAAAAAGGCCTTATCCGTAATGTTGATACATCTTTCTCAGAGAAAGAAATTTTGAAAATTTTGAAGTCGTCAGTTCCAATTAAGGCAGTGCAGAGGAGATTTAAATTTGTTCTCGATAAGGATGGCAATAAAGTAAAAGTTCCTAGACAGCAGATTATTGTAACTTTCGATAATTTAGTCCTGCCACAATTTGTTTATATGTACCGATTGAGATACGAAGTTGATACTTGGTACTCTTCGGTCACTCAATGTTATAATTGTTTAAATTTTGGTCACACTGCTTCCCAGTGTAAAAGCAAAAAACGATGCAAAACCTGTTCTAAAATATTAAATGACGAGGGACTGTGTACTGATTGTGAAATTTTTTGTGTTCATTGTAAAGATAATTCTCATATTTCTACTAGTAAAAAATGTCCTAAATATAACAATCAGGTTAAAATTAAGCAGGCGATGGCAAATCTTAATGTATCCTTTAAAGAAGCCGAAAAAATTGTAGATAACCCTTCTTATGCAAGCCTTGTTTCGAAAAATAAATTTGCTCCATTGTCTTCAAAAACCGATTTTCCTGAATTACCACCGAACTATAGAAATCAATCTAATCCCCCAAATTCAAAAACGACATTTGTAGCTCATCCACATTCCAGCAAGTCTATTCCCTCTTCCAGTGTATATGAAAATTATAAAAAACGGAAAGTCAGTGATAGAAGTCCTTCTTTTGAACCCGTTAGCAGAGAATTTGATTGGTCCTATACAGGTGCACCTTGGATTGAGTCTCATCAGATAAACACTAAAAATACTTTTGAAGGTCTAAAGGATAAAATAATTGAAGATTTAACTTGTCAAATAAATAATTCAATCAGGTGTGAGAAATCTCCTGATGTATCAAATATAATAGAAAATATAGGCTATATAATCAATAATACCCTCAAAAATATCTTTCAACAATGGCAGCCTTCACACAACAACTAACTAATTCACTGAAATGCTAGATCTGCGTATTCAAACCATAATTTGTTAAAAAACTTATTACAAGATACTAATTTTGATATTGCCCTTTTAAGTGAAACTTGGTATAAACCAGAGTACAAAATTAGTCTTAAAGGTTTTAATATTATAAGAAAAGATAGAATTAATGGTAAAGGCGGTGTGGCTATACTAATTAAAAAATCAATTTCCTTTTCTAATATCAAATTCCCAAAGTTCGATAATATCAATATTGAACTATGTGGTATAGACATATCTATCCATAATACGTTAATATCTGTTGTGTCTATTTATAGACCACCAAATGTGGCAATAAGTGTTTCGGACTACTGTAAAAAAATTTCTTCTGTAAAGTCCTTTTCTATAATTGGGGGTGATTTCAACGCCCACAATACTTTATGGGGTTGTAATATTAATGATACACCGGGGAACACAATAATAAATGCATTAGACAATTTTCCCAATTTATTAATAAGGAATGAAGGGGAGCATACCAGAATAGGAGCCACAAGTAGTTCCGCTTTAGACATAACTATTATTTCCTCAAACATCAGTAATATCTCGTCTTGGGAAGTTTTACAAGATTCCTATGGCTCAGATCATTTTCCTGTTAAATTGACATTGAATAATAAAAGTAATCTTGCGCCGTCACATAATTTAGTTGGGTAGAAACTCAAAAATGCCAATTGGGTTTCCTTTGGTCAATGCATAGAGGACAAAATTAGTAACCTTAGGGAAGTACTGGACAAGGCAAATGAAATTATTTCAATATTAATCAATGTTATTGGTGAAACTGCCGACCAACTTTTTCCTAAAAGAGTTTTTCAAAATAAAAAACCCTTTGTACCATGGTGGGACGAGGAATGCCAAATTTTATCCAACAGTCGGAAGGAAATGTTTAAAAAATTTCATAATAATTCCAATCTCCAAAACTACATTCAGTGTAATAATTTAACAGCTAAGTGTAAGCTTACCTATAAAAGAAAATCCAAACAAAGTTGGGCTAATTTTTGTAGTAGTTTGACCGCCCAGAGCCCTCCTTCCAAAATTTGGAATAGAGTTAATTTGATAAAGGGTGGTTTAAATACACATATAAACAACACAATTTCCCAGGAATCAGCCAATATTTTGTTGAATAAAATAGCACCTGATTTTGTGTCACGCGATATTCCACCAATGAATGCGTCAAGCGATCATTTTTTATCACGACCTATTTCTATATCAGAATTCATCAATAACGTCAGAAAACATAAAGACACTAGCCCAGGTACGGACGGAATCACTTATAGTATGTTAGAACATTTACCCCTCCCTGCTATGCAGTTGTTAATAGACGCATTCAATAAAATTATGTGTAGAGGTGATGATATTTCGAAAATCAAAAATGCACTGGTGGTACCAATATGCAAACCAGGTAAAACTGACGAGTTTAGGCCAATTTCGCTCACATCATGTATGTTAAAAACTCTGGAAAGAATAATCAAATATCGTTTAGAGTGGTGGTGCGAATCTAAAAAATTACTTCCTTCCCATCAGTTCGGATTTAGGCGAGGTAGCAGCGTAAATGATTGTCTGGCACATTTAGTTACTGATGTACAGAACACATTTTCTGATAATGATTATTTGGCGGCTATATTTTTGGATATATCCAGTGCATATGAAAATGTCAATCTTGAAATCCTTATAGATAAACTAGTACAATTTGATGTGCCTAGAGCAAATGCTAATAATATAGTGAGATTATATATCAATCGAGGCGTATCCATTAGAATAGGTAATGATACTAGCGAAACCAGAATTGTCTCATCTGGCATCCCCCAAGGTTCAGTATTAAGCCCATTACTTTTTAATATGTACACAACGGATTTTCATTCAATGGGGTTAAATGCTTCTCAGTTACAATACGCTGATGATTTTTGTATCTATACCAAGCAAAAAAGCATGCATGCATGCTTAACCAACCTAAAACATATTATGGATGTTTGCAATCAATATTTTCCCAGCAATGGCTTCAATATTTCAAATAAAAAATCAGCAATGATGGTTTTTACTAGGCATCGTTTACAGAAAACATCAACAATTACACTTAACAACTGTGTTATCCCATGGGTTGAAACATTTAAGTATTTGGGAGTTTTGTTTTGATCAAAAATTGGCTTGGAAAGAACATATTACCTACATAACTGAGAAGGCCGAAAAAAGTCTTAATATTATGAGAGCAGTAATATCTAGGTCATGGGGATCCAATCCCCAAGTTTGCTTAATCTTATATAAAGCGTTTACAAGATCAATTTTGGATATTGGCGCTATGTTTTATGGTTCTGCTTGCAAATCCCGACTTGTTAAAGTCGATAGGCTGCAATAAAAAAGCTCTGACTTGTAACAGGTGCTTTTAGCTCTACCCCAATCCAGGCTCTACTTTCTGAATGTAATGAAGTTCTATTAGAAATAAGACGAAAAATTCTAGCAGAAAAATTTATTCTTAAAAATGTTCAATACGTACATAACTCATTGCTTAATAAAATTTCTATCTTGAATATTTCTAATCTAACTCAGTCATACTGGAGAAATAAGAAAAGTCCTGTTTTAGCGGATGCATTTGTAAATACATCAGAATTTCAAAACATTATAACAAAACAAGACAAATATATACTATTTCATTTTCCATCTGATTTGATATATCTCAAACCTGAAATTATATTTCCGAATTTTTCGGAGTTGCCCTCAGTAAATTCTATCCATTTAAGGGAAGTCTTAAGCAAGAATGAAAATTATCTTCAAATATATACCGATGGGGCTAAAAATAGTTCAGGAGTAGGATGTGCAATTGCTATACCTGAATTGAATTATGTTAAAAAATACAAATGTGAAAATAATGCATCTATCTTCACTGCCGAAGCATTAGCAATATTGAAAGGATTAGATCATATATTGTCAAAGGGAAATATTTTCAAAGCTATTGTTCTCTCTGATTCTCAGTCAGTGTTGAAATCTCTCAAAAATGCGATGAATTGTAAGAATCTTATTATAGCCAAAGTATTGGAGATATTCTCTGTTTTGTGCTCTAAAAATATTTCTGTCAAGTTTGTATGGGTTAAGGGACATACAGGTCTCAAAGGCAACGAATTGGTTGACAATGCAGCAAGAGAGGCGATCGTATCAGAAGAGATCCTGGAAATTACTCCATATTCGGACTTTTTCGAAATAATCAAAAAAAGATCTTGGAAAGTTTGGCGCAGTAATTATATTGCAATGGCAGTTAACTCCCCTAATTTGTATAACTCCTTTTATCCTAGATTGAATAAAAAGCCACTAATGGAACGTTTTAAACTCTCCAGAAATGTGTTTGTTTCCTATTTCAGATTTTTAGTTGGCCATGGAAATTTTAATAAACACATGTATAAAGCTTAAGTTATGCGAGAACACGCGATGCTTTTGTGATAACCAATCTGAAGATGATTTGAATCATAGATTATTTAGTTGTAGACACAATGAATTGGCAACTTCATTCTTAAGAAGAGAATTGGAAAAACTCCATCTCATACCTATGAACCACAAGGGTTTAATTAAGCTTATTTTATCAGATGATAACTTGGAAAATATATTTATTAATTACTTAAAATTATGTAAAGTCCTTATTTGAAAGATAATTAGAGATTGTTTCGATTCCTATGTTTTTTTTCCTTATATGTTACATCCTTCCTAACCGGGTTCACCTGTGTTTTGTTAAAGTTTAAAAATGTCCTGCATATACCCCAGGACGAGAAGCGTGTGTCCATGTGTTTATCCTTTTTGCTAGATTCCTTCCTTTTTTTTTTATCTGTATATCGTTGGGTGAATGGTTAGCTAAAGTTTGAACTTTTGAATTATGTTTTCGTGGCTAAATGAGCTATGCTCAAAGCCAAAAAAAAAAAAAAAAAAAAAAATACTTTTCCGTTATACGTTATTTTCCAATGTTTTCGAAATTTTAATAATTTTTGAAGTTTTTTCGTAATTTTATAATTCTCCTAATTTTTTTCAAATTTAATTTTCGCAATTTACCCATGATTTTCGCAGTTCTACATAATTTTTGAAATTCCCGTGATTTTTGTAATCCTCGTGATTTTTGTAATTTTTTCGTAATTTCCGTAATTTGCTAATAATTTTTGCAATTTCACGTAGTTTTTGAAATTCCCGTAATTTTTTAATAGTTATTTATGTATCAAGGGAATTATGCAGGTGTTAATACCCCAGGGCAACGTTTGTGTCCCGAGGGCCTCCGGCCCGAGGGACACCAATTGCCCGTGGGTATTAACTCCTGATAATTCCCGTGGTACATAGATAATTTTATATCCTACTGAATTTACTGTCTATTTTTATAAAGGAATAAGCCATAAATCAAAATTTCTATTTTTTGTCAAAGTGTTACCTATTCAAGGTAAAAGCGGGAGTTATGGAAATCCTTAACTCCCTTGGGAGTTATGATATCCTTAACTCCCTTCCTTAACTCCCTTGGGAGTTATGAAAATCCTTAACTCCCTTGGGAGTTAAGACCCTGTTTATGATTATCGTAACCAAGGTATTATATGGTTTTAATAGTTCAGTAGGATATAAAATAATTTACATTACATAAGTATTTCCATTCCCGTTTTTTTTCGTAATTTTGCAATTCTCATTTTAATTTTTCAATAATTGTAAGTGTTGTAATTTTTTTCAAATTTTCATGATTTTCATTGCTTTTGTAATACCCGATTTTTTTGTAATTTTTTAATTTTCCTCTTAGTTTTTTAATAATTAACGTATTTGCCGTGATTTTTCAAAATTCCCGTGATTTTTGCAATTTTTCCGATTTTTTTCATTTTTTCGCGATCCCTGTAATTTTTGATATTTCTATAATTTTTTAATTTATTTTTATTAATTCTATATTTCCCGAATTCCTGTATTTTCCGTAATTTTTTAATGAAATTTTTATAATTTTCCTAATTTTTGTGATTTCCATAATTTTTTGAGGAATCTTCGCAAATTCGGTAATTTTTTGATTTTTTTGTAGTTTCTAATATTTTTCAATTTTTGTAATTCTTTAATAAATTATTTTCGTAATTTTTCAATTCTTTTAATTTTTATAATTCTCATAATTTTTTAAAAATCTAGTAACTTTTTGTAGTTTTGAAATTTTTGTAATTTCTGCTAATTTCAATTTTTGTAATTTTCGTAAAATTTTTCGAAATTTTTGCAATTCTTATATTTTTCAAATTATCAATTCAAAACTATAGGAATTATATACATACTTAATTCAAAATTTCAAAAAATATTCTGAAATTACAAAAAATAGAGGAATTACAGGGATTATTCCAAAAATGCAGGAATTACTCAAAGTTATTCAAAATTACATGAATTATTTGTAAATTACGGAAATTTTCTCAATATTACAGAATTTACGAAAAATGGAAATTATGAAAAATTAAGTACGTGAATAACGAAAAATTACGAGAATTATAGACATTACGAAAAACTATGAAAATTATAGAAATTATTGCAAAAATTTTAAAATTTTCAAATGAAAAATCACTCCATAAAAAATTCTGGAAAATTGACTTATTTAAGCAAAATTAAGGAAAATTCACTTCTTACATTTTAATGTTTTTCTGGAGAACTGGCAGAGGGAAAATTTTGAAAATTTTCCAAGAAAAAGAGGAAAGTGAGAAGCTCATTATAGGAAAATTTCGAAATTTTTTAGTGAGAAATCACTCTAGGGAAAATTCTGGAAAATTACTTTTTCAAGTAAAATTAAGGAAAATTCATGCTTTCACATTTCAATTGTTTCCTGGAAAATTGGCAAAAAAGAAAAAAGAGGAAAGTCAGGAGCTCATTATAAGAAAATTTCAAAACTTTCCAATGGAAAATCGCTTCAGGAAAAATTCTGAAAAAATGATTTTTTCAAGTAAAATTAAGAAAAACTCATCCTCTTACATTTTAATTTATTTTTGGAAAATTAATAAAGCAAAATTTTCTAGTGAAAAATCACTCTAAGGAAAGTCGATAGGAAAATTCTGGAAAATTGACTTTTCTAAGCAAAATTCATCCGTTCACATTTAAATTTTTTTTTGGAAAACTGCTAAAGGGAAAATTTTGAAAATTTTCCAGGATAAAGAGAAAAGTGAGGAGCTCATTATAGGGAAATTTCGACATTTTCCAGTGAAAAATCACTTCAGGAAAAATTCAAAGAAAATTGACTTGTTTAGGCAAAATTAAGGAAAAATCATTGAGATAGAATAATAAGGAGGCGACATAAGGAGAAAAAAGCGTATCCCACTTCCGCCATATTGTTACGACACTTCTGTCTGAGATTCTGTCACTGTTGTCATAGTAACGCGTCAAAATTGCATCAGGGACGTATTTTCCATCCAGAAATTTTTTAAATGCGAAAAATTTTTGAAGCCTAGAATTCCTATTATGGGTCTTGGAAGGATCTCTTGTTTCAGTATGTTGAAGTTTCTGTAGCTTGTTTTTTTTTCTTGGTGTAATCTCGATTTTTTTACGTTTTTTTTTGGAGTTTCGCTATGGAGCTCCACGGGCCCCTCTCGGGCCCGGGCACACATGGCACACCGGTAGATACGCCACTGACCCTAGCGAAATACTGATGGAGTCAAAAAGTTTTTCCCTGGAATACAAATTGACGTGTCCGAACTTTTTTTATAAATCGACCCTAAAATACCCTAAAATGTTCGGGAAACACTCTGTATAGGTTTTTCATGTTAAAATCTGTTTTTTTTTTAAGTCAAACATTTAGTAACTATGTTGGCAACACAAGTCTTTTCTACATAAAAAATTTGAATGCCTTGAAAATTTTACATTGTATTGCCAACATAATGTCATTTTGACTTTTATCTTTTAAAAAAAAAACAGACTTTATATTTAGGATGACGTCATCGAACAAAGACAATGTTGTAAATGCCTATTTTTTTTTAATAATTTACCAGAATGTTATATGTCAATCATTCTGACGACAGTTAAAAATAACGAAACGAAAATGTTTATACAAGTCATGCAACGTCGCGCGCTGTTGCCAACCAAAAAATCCGAAATTTCCCTATTTTAAATGCGTTAAAAAGTAGTTTTAGTTCTGTTAGGTTGACAGCAGAAATTTACTAAATGTGACGTCATCCTAAATATAGCGTAGAAGTCCTATAGCACTATAGCATATAAAAAAAATTCCAGCTTAATTGGATAAATATTAAAAAAGTTACGCGTCTTTATATTAAAATATTTATGCCTCAAAAATTCACAGTTGAAAGATGGTATGACGTCATCTCTCGAGTCGAGATAGGCTAAAGGCCGGCACACACGGTGTTGCATAACGCAATGTCAATTGCTGAAAGTTTGGCACACAGTTTGCGGAACTATGTATAATTTTACTTTTTGCATGTTACTTCCCTTATTATTGTACTTATAAAATATTGAAAGTCAGGGAATTAATCAAATATACTTTTTTCTACGAGCGTGCGGAAAAGTGCACTTTTCCGCATGCATTTTAGGTCATTAAAGTACCATTTTTCCGCACTCCGTAGTACTTACAGGTATACTACTCGTACAGGTACGGAAAAATAAAAAAAAATTATCTTAAATTGGATTAAATAATAAATATTAACGGCCATCTCGTAGATAAAATAGTGTTCCTAACTCATGTGGAAAATTGGCACTTTCCGCACTAGTTAGGAAATATACTATAATATGATTCGAAAGAAAAACATCCATTTCTGCCAGTTACAAAAATTGTCAAACTAAAACTTGTCGAAACAATGTCCGTAATTTCATAGTGACCCAAGGATAATACACACTACTACTACTACTACTACAGGATTGCCTATCCTCGATAAGGCCTGTGTGTAACAAATCCCCCCTTCTCCGCAGGCTAAAATACCAATTCTGACGTAGGCAGCATGTTATTTCTCGCATTGACGTAGGTTGTTTAAACAGCTGACGACTTAGTTATGACGTCGGAAATGGTATCACACCAATATACAGGCGATTACCAAAAACGAGGCTGATGAGCACTCCGAGTGTGTATTCTCCTCCAGCACCACCACAATCAACATGAGAGATACAGTGACGTCACCGGGTGTTCCAAATTTGGAGCGTTTTAATAATTTATTTAAATAGGAAAAAGGGTTGGGAAAGTTAAGAATTTTACAAAATTGCTAAATTCAACACGCTCCTCTAGAATATGTAATAAAAAAAAATGCTAAACGAGCCGATTTGAATTTTTTTTTCCACAACGCACTACATTTATTCACAATTGGCAACAGCGCAATCAAAACCAATTTACCAGCGGCAACCGGAACAACTGTTTGCGCCTTGGACTCTTCTTAAATTTGATTGGTATGATGCTTACACGTTATCGTCTGAACACAGTAATGATGTTAAATTTTTCAGCTTTTTTATTGAAAAATATAGGTCTTATAAATTTTAGTGAGAGAGTCCACTGTGCAGCAGTGTTGCCAACCATTTTCCGTATTAAGGACAAAATTTCCTCGCTTTATTGGACAACAATTCAAGAGCCCAAGAGCCTGGAATAAATAAAATTTGAAAAAAAAAAAACAATACAAATTAAATTATTTATTGGTGGTAAATATAATATTAAAAGTTATTTAAAATTAAAAACTACACAAACATTAAACAAATTTCTAGCTAGATAGAACCAGAATGAAATCATAGAAATAAATACATGAAGCACTGACATTATCCAATTTATTACTTATTTTTACTCAAAAATGCCTTGATCCAACAACACAATTTTACCTTAACACAAAATCCAGATACGACAACAGCAACAACTTCTCCCCAGCTCAAAACAACGGCAACAAACCTCACTGGTGCGCAATCTCCGGAGTCCTAAAAACTCCAGAAAATGACTTCTACGTGATCGCCCGCCAAGGCAAATCCTTAAACGTCGGAATTTGGAATCTAGAAGATCTGTCCGCCAGCAACGCCCAACTCACGTGCCAAGGTCCAAAATATCCTGCCAATAGTGCTCTGCACAATAAGGAATTTATTTTTCCCGATGGCGGTGTTGCCGGTCCGTTGGGTTTAAATGAAAAGGCTGTGCTTATTTATACTTTTAGGGCTGATTTAATTCGTGTTTGTGATAATGTTTAAGATATACCTTAACTTAGAGATTAAAAGTGTGGTAACGTTACCGCGGTAACGCTAATTTTGGTAATTTAACCCGACAAATTTCTTTACCGGTAATTTTCAGAAATGCTTCCTGAATGAAATCACATTCGGGCGACAATCCTTTTCATGCATTATTCGCCATCTAGTTGTGCAATCTGTAACGCGCTTTCACGGTTGGCAGTTATTTACCCAACAAGTTTGGAAAGTGATGCTTTTCCGCACGCGACGGCAGTTGACAAGCTGTCAAGGGTGGAAAAGACATTTTCCGCAAGAGTTAGGTGTAATGTTTTTCCACGAGTGTTTCTCCCCATTTTATTTATCAAAAATTGATCAAAAAAATTTGTGTAAGATCTAAGTTTTCTGAATGGAAAATAGTACCTATAGATAGTAATTTGATTTGAAGTAAAAAAATATGTAGTACCTATATCTTGAATTAAAATATTCTGTTCGTAGAAAAAGCCTATTTCAAAAACTCAGTGGGTTTTTGTTGAGTTTTGAGTTTGAGATCATTTGGAATGTCAAAGAGTCAAAGATCTTAAAGCACAAAACCCTACAAAAGCACAACTCTCGCAAAAATCCAAAAAACCAAAAGAAATTTCCAAAAATCCGGGCTTAACGCTTAAAGTAATTAATTTTCTTGACAAGAGTTAGGTATCTCTTACATTGGCGCCGACTACATGGGAGCATTGGGGCAGGTGCACCTATGAGCAACCTCTCATGGGTGCGCAGCACCCATGGGAGATCATGGGGGATCTCGTAGGAATTGCGGAAGTACAAACGTGTTTATTGGTCATTCCGTTCCATGTGGTAGCATCAGTATCATGTAATTCAGTGGCGTAGCTAGGCGTCGGCGGCGACGACCTCGCGCCCTAAAGGTTGGATTTCGTTGCAACGTCCAGCGTTTACGGTCAGCCGCGACGTTCTGCCGTCGAGCACTCCTTCAATGCGTTATAACGACAATAATGTTGTTGAAGCGGCTCGTCTCTCAGA